CCATCCCTGATATCCATCTGGCACCTTTTCCTACAGCTACAGAGGTTAGGCTCCAACAAGCGCGCCCTATATAATATACATTTTCTGATTTTCGAACGGAACCTGCACTATGGAGACCAGCAGCCTAGCCATGTGGTACAGAAGAGCTGAAGGAGTTAAGTGAGAGTGTAAAAGGTGTAGAAAATAGGCAGCCCCATAAAATACTAGTGATTGCATTTTAATTGTATCACCACAAGATGGCAGAACTGCATCCTGTTTATAATAGGAGGACACAGAACGGGAACTGAATGTCTAACACTTTGTTTCCGGCAGGACTGTGATTACAGTGAACATCCAGTCACATGCCACTAACACTTTTCTATGTTTGTTACAGGTACGCAGGAGGCTGTTTAACATGATAAATAGGACAAAATGACTTAACATGTGCCCTGGTGTCAGGGCTCCAGGTATGACCAGAGATGTGTGAACTGACACAGGGAAACGCAGGCTTCAGGTATAGTATAAACAATACAATGTATTTAAGACTAAACAATACATAAACGCAGTGCAAGACTAAACATAAACACAGTGCAAATAAACCAAACCTCCAACAGATAACAATAAGAACAATACTAAACGTAGTCGGGCAGGCCAGGTCGGTAGCAAACGGGCAGGCAAGGTACAAGGAGCAGGCGGAAGAGTAGTCAGGAATAGCCGAGGTCGGTACAGGCAGAGTTCCTGCAGAGTCAGGATTCAAGCAGGCAGGATCAGGGTACAGGGGCCAAGGGAAACTATACACCAAGGCCCTGACTGCAGGCCTGGCTACTCCTTAAATACACCTCCTGCAATCAGCCTCAGGTGATGACTTGATTGCAGGAGTGAGCTTCTGGCTGCTGAGAGCACCCGCTGGCCAGCCCTGGTACTGCAGCCCAAACAGCAGGTGAGTCCCACCACCAGTGGTGAGTCCATTCCTGACACCTGGTGGTCAGTAAATGCTGCTGCTACTATTATACAATCAGACTACTCACACCATGAATGTGAATATACTGTATATTGCAGGTATGCGATTTGATGCTAAGATACAGGGAATGTGATTTCTCTATTGTAATACGCTATTGTTATGCAGAATAGGTTAATAGTATTTCTGCAGAGGTCTAGATATTCAGTATTGCGATTAAAGATGTTTATTAATGCATATAGAAATACTTATTAATGTATATGGAAATGTTTAGTAATGTATAGAGGACCGTGATTACAGTGAACATCCGGTCACATGCCATTAAGAGTTTCCTGTGTCTATTACAGCCGTTCCTTATAAAGCACTTCTGGTTTCACCCAACCCATCCTTCGCACAGTGGAATTATTAACCATATGTGCAACAAGAGCAAGTAAGAGGCCCGCGCAAGGTGACAGAGGTACACCGGACAGGTGGAAAGGGCACAGGCTCAGCGGTGTCCCTCCTATATGCAACATGTTACAAGGTGTGCATTGACAGACAGAAGGTTTACAGAAGAACTTTGCATGTTACGTCACTACACACGGTGCGCAGTCCACCTTTAAGTCATTCTTCATCTGGTCCCAGGCATTGACGAGCATGTGCATGGCGAAAGGTACCCCGACATGCAGGGTGAGTAGCCCTGCCCACAGGCTTGATCAAGTACAGTGATACAGTGTTCTCTTTGGGAGATATTAAATACTTACAAGAGTTACGCTTACATTCAGTGTAAGGATCCAAACATGAGCCTGAAAGATCCTTCACGATAGATCATTCTGTACCGATATTTCCAACCTGGTGGGGTAAGACCAAAAGAATTATAAGGACCCATAGGATTTTTAAGGCACCTTATGTAATACCAAAGCGAGTCTATTTTATGGTAAAAGGGTTCTTCAGGACAAAGGTTTAAGGTGGTGTTAGCAGGGGTTGAGCATCCAAAGCAGGCTCAGGAAGACAGGGAACCCACAAACAACTCAGCGGCACTCAAAAGGGGAGTGCTACATTTGTATTTACAGAATGTATAGAGAGAGAGAGAGAGAGAGAGAGAGAGAGAGAGAGAAAGATGTCAAGCCTTGTAGATGTCCCAATTCAGGATAGACTGTAAGTAAAGGAATCCCAAATTGGGAAATTATATTAGAATCATTGTATAACCAACATGAGGAATGGCCAATACCATACTATAACAAACATAGTCAGTCTCACCTAGATGTTTGCACCCCGGTGGCTAAACATACAAGACAATTCCAAAAAACATAGTATAGAGGGAGACATATCAAAATCCACTACAAAGGCAACAAAAATGGCCACCAGAATCCAAACGGACTATAAATATACCATTGCTCCCAATAAGAAAAAGGCTTACCAAATTAAATAGCAAATGTCTACCATCAGAACCCCTAAGACCATAAAGGGCCTATTCTATGAGAACAAACAACCTCATAAGATGGTGGTCAGTGAATGCCAAAATCCAACAGGTAGTCTGGATGTCCCAAGCACTAGGCCTCCATTGCTTCCGGGTATCCAAAACGTCACTTCTGCTGTGGGATGGCATCAATGATGATGTCACCACATCCCATGGCCATGGGAAAGCAATGCAGCACAGATCAGAATGGCATCAGCATGCATCAGGGCCCCACATAAAACACACCAAGTACGTCAGATGTAAGAGAGCACTACTAATGGTAGGTGTAGGAGCAGGACAGAGACTCCCCACTTCAAATGGCAAAAAAGGGATGAAACAAAGGTACAAATAATGGCTAAACTAGGCATGTAAAACAAGGCAGAGTGGGACTATATGTGCTGAGTGTCATCACCAAACCTCCCGATCAGTAAAAACACATGCCAGTTATTAAACGAAAATACGATATGTTTTAAAAAATAGCATAGTAACAAATATAAAATTAAATATACAAAAATAGTAAAGTAATACCATAAATGTGTACACAACATAGGCCTGAAAATCAGTACATCCTTCACTGACTAATAATAACTTAGTCCCAAAGTGTGCAATCAGGAGGGGACATAAGAAACACATTAGTGATAACAATTTGATTTCAGATTTTCCAGAGGTAAATCCCTCCAGAAATGGTTTTTAACTGCCATTTTCATCTAGGTTTGTAGGATGTTAGGCTTCAAATAATAAATCTACCTTAGTTCTTTTTGCAAGGGGACTTTATTCTAGTTACCCCTTTGTGTATCAGGATGAACTTTCTAATGTCAAAAAACCTAGTCCAGGCATGTTGTAATTATGGACCTCAAATACATGATTGCATATTGGGGTTCACACATTCCTGTTCTGTGCAACATGAGTGTGGTCATAAATACATCTCCAAAATTTTGTTTTACCCACATAATTGGCTCTACATGGGCATAGCATAACTCTAAACTGTCACACTGTTGGTATGATTTGTTTAATGTTATGCCCATGTAGGGCCTTTTATGTGGGTAAAACGAAACAAGAATTCTGGAGACAAATTTATGACCACGCATGCCGCATAACATGACTATGTATAGCATAACGCGACTAATTAAACAGAGTTTAATTACCTGTTGATTCTTCCAGTAAATTAGTTGAAGTACAAATACTTTCACAGGGTGACAACCCTGACTGTTGTAAAGAAATCATGTAAAGAAATGTGGATGTGTTGTCTGACTTATCCACCTCTGTAAGCATCTTTCTGTATCCCATATGTTTCTCTACAATGTTCATGGGAAAAATTAGCTGAATTACATTATGCTTTCATAGATGATTGCAAATGCTTAAATAGAATATGCTGAAAGAGTAGAATCCTCAGTGGAATCTCTCAAGCAGCATTGTGGTTAGGCTAGCTAAACATTGACTAAAATTCAACTGGTTCAGCAGGGATAAGCCGACTTGCAATTTATACGAGGGCTCCCCCGCCAATATTGGAAATATTTTCATTGATCATTGGCTGCAGCCAATCAGATTGTGACAGTACTGTCAGGACACAATGTCCAGGCTGGGGAATTCCTCAATGACTCCCTCATATTTGTTAATGTAATTTTATTTTCCATTCAGCCCTAGCCAAAAAGCATGGCCCTTAGAAGCAGTAGCTCATTGTTTATCTACTGGAGTGGTTCAAACTACACATATCTCTAAAGGTATCTTTTCACATGCCATGAAGTACCTCAGGATGCTTCTAATATGGAGGATCACCAATCCATGTTGGTATATCAGTGAACCAGTTTAACCTGTTGACACACGCACAGCACATATGTGCAATGACAGAAGGGAGTACTTTAACACCCACATGCTGCACATATGCATCACTGAGCAACCAATATTTTTGTGCTGAGAGTTTCACTTACTGTGCACTCCCAGCACAGAGACTGAGCTGTCAAAGACAACTCTCCGTCCCCACTATCAATGGCAGGACCGGCTCCCAATCATGTGACCACTGTGACAGACAGCGCACAGAAAAAGCACAGTCCTATTGGCAAACTCATTATGGGCAACTTCTAATAGCAATAAGGCAGTATCAACACAGGGCAGCCAAAAGGCCTCTTACCATCGATAAAAATCCTGATACATCTTCTGGAGCAATTGGACACTGGAACAACTGAACACTGAAATAAAAGGAGCACTCTGGAACAGAAGAACAGTTCTAAACAGATGAATACTGGAGCTGGAGCTGCACCATGCAGAGCATCAGCTCTGATGAAGAAGGGATTCCCTTCAAAACGCGTCAGCTGTACTCTGAGTGTCTACCCCTATGATGGGACTCGCGCAGACTTCCTAACTTTCAAGTTCCTTTGAGGACTTACATGCTTGATTTACTTTGCTGTTTGTGAGTATCATTTTGTATTCAATAAATTTTGGTTACTGAAGTAATGTGCAAGGTTGGTGCGCTTCTCGTTTTTGTTTCACTTTTCAGTACTGGTCGGGCTTCCCCAGCCTTGTTTGGAGCTGCACATCCCTATATGCACTGGTGGTTGAATCTTCCAATTCTGGTTCCATCTATTCGCCATCCACCTGGGTCTCAGAGTGCAGGAGAGTCTGTTTTTGGTTTATTACCACCAACAATGACCCCTGTACTCTGCCCTACCAACAATGACCCCTGTCCTCTGCCCTGCCAGCAGTGACCCCTGTCCTCTGCCCCCCTGACGTCCGATCCTCTGCCCCCCTGACATTTTTTACTGCACCCCCAAATTGGACAGGCTAGATCCAGCCCTGGTTTCTAGGATATCTTAGCACAGTCTCTAAAGCACTATTCACAGTAGCAACACATGGCCCTGGACAGCAGCAGTCTCTGGATGGCAGCCTGCAACCTTATTCCGCCAGCAGTCTCTCAGCCAGCACATGATCTCTTCCTTATGCAGAAGCTTAGCACAATAGCTTATTCCAGCTCTGCCCTGAGCTCCCTGTAGATGTGAGCCCTATACCTGGATCCAGGGCTTACTGTAGAAAATTAGGACACACACTGCCCTCTTCAGCCTCCCTCCCCAGCCTATGGGTTCCAACAGCTCTAGAGGTCACTGTACACTCTCCAGGCACCCTGCTCTCCCAACACGCATCACTCTTTGTACCCTACATGGATCTCTGCTTTCCCTGCCCAGCAGTGGGGAAGGCCAATCAGAAGCCAGCCTAACCCTACCAGCCAATCAGAAGCCTTCTCTGCCCAGGTTTCTAGAGGTGGGTCCTCTTTAGCTAGAGCAGCAGCCAATCAAGCACAGTCCAGTATCCTCTCTCCTTGCAGCTGTTGAGCAAAGAAAAATCATCTTGCTGCATTTTTCTTCAGAGCTGCTGGGCTGAAATTGAAGAAGCGAAGAAGGCACTACATATGTTGACATGGTCGCTCATAGTCTCCATCAGAAGGTCATGTGACTGGGTGACAATGCAGGAGCACACTTTGGAGACATGGACAGTGCATTGTCACCCTATAACAGGAAGTATCTTCATGGCAGTAACCTTATATTTTTTAAATTATAGCTTCAGATTTAGAAATATTGAAAATGACTTCAGAAATTACACTCATAATTTAAAGTTTTTATGAGAGTTTAGTGATTGGCTTTCTATTTACTTAAAGTAAACACAGGGGGTTATTTATTAAAACTAGAGAGTGCAAAATCGGCTGCAGCTCTGCATAGAAAGCAATCAGCTTCCAGATTTTTTTGTCAAAGTTTAATTGACCAAGCTGAAGTTAGAATTTGGTGCAGCTGTACATAGTAGCCAACTAACTTCTGAGTGCCCCAGTTTTAGTAAATCCCCCCACAGAATATGGACCTATAGAAAAAAAATTCAAAACTGTCTACTCACAGTTATGAATATTTCACATCCAATCATTTTTCCACATTTCCATTTTATTCCTATGATAATAAATTAAATTCTAACTGTCATGACAGATTGAAATAATGTAACTGCTAAAACGTGCCTTCTCTACCCATTTACTGTATCTCAAATTAAAGCAACCATTGCAATCTGGAAGATGTCCATAGGTAAGTTTTTGCGGAGGTGGCCCATCTGTCCCTGACATTCATGTCAATGATGAGTAAAAATCAGCGTTTCCATTATTAAAACATTGTTTTGTGGTTCAAATACTTGCTAGGTGCATATGTTTTTCTACATTCGTGTGATATAATCCTGTTATAAATTTAAATAGCGACGGTGACAAAATATATGTGTGAATTAGTCATATTGCAAGCTGATGACAGATTTTTCTAATCAAATCTAGACAGGACATAGATAAACACAGTTATTTAATATAACTTGGACTAAAGCCTCATGCACACTGGACGGTTTTAGCTCTGCTCTTAGGGACATCTGGTATTTTCTTTCTATCTCTAAATGCCCCTGTATGTTAGCCTATGTTTCCATGCACACATAGTTAGGGAGAAGAGAAGAGACACACGCTCTCACCACTTGTGTAGTCCCATGTATAGGGGATGGCCTCAGCAAATCCCAGGACCACACGGGGGGACCTAGTGAATGACCTGCAGAGAGCTGGAACCAATGTAACAAAGGCTACCATCAGTAACACACTACGCCGCCAGGGACTCAGATCCTGCAGTGCCAGATGTGTCCCCCTGCTTAAGCCAGTACATTTCTGGGCCCATCTGAAGTTTGCTAGAGAGCATCTGGATGATCCAGAAGAGGATTGGGAGAATGTCATATGGTCAGATGAAACCAAAATAATAGAACTGTTTGGTAGAAACACAACTCGTCGTGTTTGGAGGAGAGAGAATGCTGAGTTGCACACCATACCTACTGTGAAGCATGGGGGTGGCAACATCATGCTTTGGCGCTGTTTCTCCACAAAGGGACCAGGACGACTGATCCATGTAGAGGACAGAATGAATGGGGCCATGTATCGTGAGATTTTGAGTGCAAACCTCCTTCCATCAGCAAGGACATTGAAGATGAAACGTGGCTGGGTCTTCCAACATGACAATGATCCCAAACATACCGCTCGGGCAACGAAGGAGTGGCTTCGTACGAAGCATTTCAAGGTCCTGGAGTGGCATAGCCAGTCTCCAGATCTCAACCCCATAGAAAACCTTTGGAGGGAGTTGAAAGTCTGGGTTGCCCAGCGACAGCCCCAAAACATCTCTGCTCTAGATGAGATCTGCATGGAGGAATGGGCCAACACACCAGCAACAGTGTGTGCCAACCTTGTGAAGACTTACAGGAAACATTTGACCTCTGTCATTGCCAACAAAGGATATATAACAAAGTATTGAGATGAACTTTTGATATTGACCAAATACTTATTTTCCACCATAATTTGCAAATAAATTCTTTCCAAATCAGCCAATGTGCTTGTCTGGATTATTTTTTCTCATTTTGTCTCTCATAGTTGAGGTCTACCTATGATGCCAATTACAGGCCTCTCTCATCTTTTTAAGTGGGAGAACTTGCACAATTGGTGGCTGACGAAATACTTTTTTGCCCCACTGTATACTGGAATTTCTATTTATTTATTTATACTAGTAATGCCGGTGATCAACAACTTCTAGTAGGACTGTGATAGTGACTGTGATAGTGTGTTGGGCAATCTGACACTTACATTGGGTGGGAGACAGACAAACTGACTAACTGACACTGACATCACCAGTGACACTAATACAGTGATTATGCTTTACATTGTCACTGTAACAATGATGCTGTGACAGGTGTTAACATCTTGGCATAATCAAGGGGTTAAGTGTGTGCCTAACAAGTGTAAATGTGTGTAATGTGTGCTGCTTTTTACTAATAATATGTTTCTTCTCCCTGCAAAGCAGACACAGATTGTTCCCTCACGTCAACACATGACTCTGGGCTATGATTGGACACAATTGATCAGCAAGTCTCAGCAATGAATCATTGATTGAAGCATGATGACCAAATCCTGCTATGTCCAATCACAGCGAGAGTCTGTGGGGGGCTCGCACACCCTGAACCCGGAATAAGGGAGCAACATACAGGTATGTTGCTGTGCCCATACGAGCTGCCCATCCGCAGTAAAATGTGGTGAGAGGAGGTAAGATACGCCCGTTCTTAACCTCTGAAACTACTAAGCAACTTATTCACTCCTTAATTATCTCTCACCTTGACTATTGTAACTCCCTCCTCATTAGCCTACTTCATCGCAGGCTATCCCCTCTTCAGTCTATCATGAATGCTGCTGCCAGACTCATCCACCTTACTTATCTGTTCCATATCTGACATCCCTCTCTGCCAATCCCTCCACTGGTTTCCCATTGCCCAACGGATAAAATTCAAAACATTAACAATAGCATATAAAGCCATTTATAACTCTGCCCAAAATTACATCACCAATCTTTTCTCCAAATATCACCCAAACTGTCCTCTCCGCTCCTTGCACAACCTCCTCCTCCCATGCTCATTTCCAGGACTTCTCCAGAGCTTCCCCCATCCTCTGGAACTCTCTACCCCAATTTATCAGTCTATCGCCTACTCTGCTCACTTTTAGGCAATCTCTGAAAACCTATCTCTTCAGGGAAGCCTATCCTGCCCTCAGCTAACAATGGGATCTTCTATTCCTCCTACCAGTCCATCCCCCACAGTTATTACCTTTTGTACCACTAGCCCCTCCCTCTTAGATTGTAAGCTCCAAGGAGCAGGGCCCTCCTAACCCTCTTGTTTTGAACTGTATTGTTGCTGTATTGTCTCCTGTTATATTGTAAAATGCTGAGCAAACTGTTGGCGCTGTATAAATCCTGTATAATAATAATAATAAAGACGTTTAGAGGCAGGAGTGTTTAGAAGCAGAAAGAAAACACTGCAAGCGCATCCAGAAGCAGCTGCGTTTTGGCAGCAAAAAAAAATGCTTGATGCTTGAAAAACGCTGGGCACTTTTAGTACTTGAGTGTTGATTTCAATTACTAGAATTAACTCCCATGTGCTTGATGTGCCTAAATGCATTACATTACAATAATTTTTTCTTCCAAAAAGCCACTGCCAGAAGGAAAGCCATCCAGGAGAGATGGCTAAAGTATCCGAAGTGCGTGAGGCCTAAAAGGATGTGTTAATATTATTACTACTGTGAAGTTTTCTATCAATGGCTACTTCAATATCGCAATGGACATTATCAGTGATGATAGGCTCAGTCCACAAAAACTGCAACTCATGCTGGTAGCACTCATGAGCACTTTTGCTTTACAGCTCTGGGTCCCAATGTCAAATCCCACCCAGGGGCGGACTGACAACTCATGCGGCCCCCGGGCAATAGGGGATCATGGGGCCCCTGTGTCCTTGCCCAAACTCAAAAAAGCCTATGAAAAAAGTACCAGGGGCATCTCATGGGGCCCCCTACTGACCCCGGGCCCTCGGGCAGTGCCCGAGTTTCCAAATGGTCAGTCTGCCCCTGATCCCACCTAAGTTGGTATGAATTTGTTTGTTTGTTCTCGTCATGGGGGTGGATTCAGCAGCTATTTTCCTTTACCCCCACAATCCAAAAACATAGTTGTCAGATAATGAATGTTCCCAGCATGCCCTTAGTGTATGTATGAGTGTGGTAGGAATGTTAGATTGTGAGCTCCCGTGGAGGACAATAGAAATGGGACTATGTACAGTGTAAAGTGTAATGTTACTGTATATGCCAGTGCTATATGAATACTGCAAACGAATATTAATGATTACCTCTTACCAGATCTGTTTAATTACAGCCATAGTATATCTGCTTAAAGAAAATTTTATTTTATATACAGCTCATAGCATAAAATGTATAAATAACAACAAAAAGGAAAAAAAACACTTGCAGGTATAAAAGACAACTACACATATCTACAACAAGGAGATTAAAATCTGGCTTCCTGATCTTTGCAGTATCCTGATTGTGCCACAACTCTCTCATCCCTTCCTATTGCACATTTTAT